CTGTCCCTATCTCTTCTTCCACCAACCATTGCAGACACGGCTAGTCTGTCTGCTCTGTCCCTATCGGCTCTGGCTAGTCTGTCTGCTCTGTCCCTATCTCTTCTTCCACCAACCATTGCAGACACGGCTAGTCTGTCGCTCTGTCCCTACCAACCATTGCTCTATCTGCTCTGTCCCTACTCTTCTTCCAACCATTGCAGACACGGCTAGTCTGTCTGCTCTGTCCCTATCTCTTCTTCCACCAACCATTGCAGACACGGCTAGTCTGTCTGCTCTGTCCCTATCTCTTCTTCCACCAACCATTGCAGACACGGCTAGTCTGTCTGCTCTGTCCCTATCTCTTCTTCCACCAACCATTGCAGACACGGCTAGTCTGTCTGCTCTGTCCCTATCTCTTCTTCCACCAACCATTGCAGACACGGCTAGTCTGTCTGCTCTGTCCCTATCTCTTCACCAACCATTGCAGACACGGCTAGTCTGTCTGCTCTGTCCCTATCTCTTCTTCCACCAACCATTGCAGACACGGCTAGTCTGTCGGCTCTGTCCCTATCTCTTCTGTTGCAGACACGGCTAGTCTGTCTGCTCTGTCCCTATCTCTTCTTCCACCAACCATTGCAGACACGGCTAGTCTGTCGGCTCTGTCCCTATCTCTTCTTCCACCAACCATTGCAGACACGGCTAGTCTGTCTGCTCTGTCCCTATCTCTTCTTCCACCAACCATTGCAGACACGGCTAGTCTGTCTGCTCTGTCCCTATCTCTTCTTCCACCAACCATTGCAGACACGGCTAGTCTGTCGGCTCTGTCCCTATCTCTTCTTCCACCAACCATTGCAGACACGGCTAGTCTGTCGGCTCTTACATTTTCTTTCACCCTAGCAGATCCCAGTGTGCGCAGCCAAGATGGTTTCTTCAGGCCAGACTTCTGGATGCTGTCAATTTATTCTAATCTGTTTGTCAGTTTGGATCTTCATAAGCAAGCTCCCTGAGTTTGCCAATGCAAGTGCCTGCGTGACAGCTGCTATCCTCATCGACATTTTTGAAGTAATTGAACTGAATGCCTTTCTTCTTTGACTGTCCCATTTCTCTTCACTTGCTCTGTGTGTGATCACCTAGGCAACACCCAAGAAATCACTTAGTCATCTGCATTGGTGATGACATCATAAGGTCTATATAGGTGATGACATCATCATATCTGTATAGGTGATGACATCATCAGATCTACATAGGTGATGACGTCATAAGTTAACCATTTTGACGCAGTACTGTTAATGACACGTGTGATAAAGAAGTTCCATCTCCGCAATGGAGGTTGCTTGTCGTACACTCAGTGATGGCCTAAGAAAAACAGTGGAACACTTTACAATTCTAATTTAATCCATTCCATGACTTGGATGGTGTGACGAATATCTCGTCTCTGGAAACTATTTTACCCAACGTAATGAATGTAAATAACATTAATTCGTTCCAGCCCTCCAAAATTCACTGTATTAGTTGCTGAAACACGTGTTTCCTTGCACTACATTTTTTTGCACTGCAATTTGCAGGCTTCGGAAAACGGAGCTACTTCCAACCATGATGCCATAGTCAGTTATCATCAAATGCCATGTCGACTGGTTGCAGTTCTCCTTCGGTCCTGTTAAAGTAACCTAATTCATTTAAAAGTTATCAGAATGAAGTCCGGTAACGTCGATAGTTTTCGTCTCACCAGCCTGCATCCTGGATTTCGACTCTTATTCCGGAGCAATACAATTGGCATCTAACCTTGTATCGATGCACACATAGATTGAAGTGCCACTTCTTCTTCTTCACTTCCACCGTGTACCTCAGCAAAGTGTCGGGGAGGGGGAGGGAGGGGGTGGAATGTAAAATTCGTTGATGAGCTCTGTCAAGAGAACTATTAGGACTGATGTTCATTTCTGTAAGGCTGTTCTTAATGCCATCACTCCATATTTTCCGAAGTCTTCCACTCGCTCTGTACCCGTTGTAACGTTTTAGTGTGGCTCGCTGTGGCAGATAGTACCAGGGCATTCTTGTTAGGTGTTCAAACAACTTTTGTTGTTGTTGTTCTTTGATGGCCTGTAAGACCGGCTTTATTCCTAGCATTCGTCTGATTTCGTGATTTCGTATTGTGCCTTTGTTTGAAACTCCAGTGCCACTGCACTGTATACAAGATGTTTAATCGACGGTGCGAATTTTGTACCACTTTATAAAAGCCACGAGAAAGGCGTGGAGATCAATCTATGCCCTGAGCTGGGATAAGAAATGTAACAATCTTCATAACAATTTAGGCGCTAAACAATCTGGAACGCTGTTCAATCACAGACTTAAAAAAAAAAAAAAAGAAACAACGCAAAACCTATTTCGAGAAGACATATCAAGATATATAAATAGCCGTCGGTAAATGTGAGTACCTACCTTCAGGTGCTGGTCTTCCGTGTGTGTCAGGTATAAAATAGAGCGTCACAATAACAGCAACCAATAATACGGGATAGAGTTTCATGTTTAAGTCTGTGTGCTGGTGCTGCTTTCACACGGGGCTGACTCCGTTCTCAAAGTATTGTGGAGAATATTCTTTAGGAAAACTATACTTTTGGAACAGCAGCCTTTGTGCTGGGGCTGTTTGTGCTCTTGTTGAATTATCTGATGCTGTAATAGCCTGGCCCAAGAAGAAATAAGAGTTTAAATTATCAGTTTGCGAACATACACGCATAATTGTGAATTATAACATACATACATATGTGAAAAATCTATATTAACCCCATAAGTGTGCTAGAAAAATCGACAGTGTATGTGAGCTTCACATGAGTATATATGCTCGTCTATCGTGTCTATAGTTGTGCTTGATTTCTATCTTTTCAAATGCATGTACAAAGATATGTGATATTGTTTTCACAGTATCTACGAGGAATAGAATATTGAACAAGAAGAACATAATTCTAGACAAGACAAAGCTGGGAGTCTGAGAAGCAGCAGGTTAAAGGTCACGGATGGCATAAAAGTTCTCAAAAACCAGGCTCTAAATGTGAAATACTTTCCTCAACACCAGCGTGCCTTTTAAGTGACATTGACTATCGTCCTGGCTGTGATTGATTTACATCATTATAACACAATAAAACACAATCGTATGGATGGACGCAAAGCTAGGTGTCAACAACAATACCAGTACTTAAAATCTCCACACATTAAAAAACGGTCGACATAAAACAGCCCCAACTATCTACACAATAGGAAACGGTTAACATAACTAGCCCCAACTCTCCACACATCAAGAAACGGTTGACATAAAACAGCCCCAACTCTCTACACAATAGGAAACGGTTAACATAAATAGCCCCAACTCTCCACACATCAAGAAACGGTTGACATAAAACAGCCCCAACTCTCTACACAATAGGAAACGGTTGACATAACTAGCCCCAACTCTCCACACATCAAGAAACGGTTGACATAAATCAGCCCCAACTCTCCACACATTAAGAAACGGTTGACATAACTAGCCCCAACTCTCCACTTAATAGGGAACGGTTGACATAAATCAGCCCCAACTCTCCACACATCAAGAAACGGTTGACATAAATCAGCCCCAACTCTCCACACATTAAGAAACGGTTGACATAGATCAGCCCCAACTCTCCACACATCAAGAAACGGTTGACATAAATCAGCCCTAACTCTCCACACATTAAGAAACGGTTGACATAAATCAGAACCAAGTCTCCACACATTAAGAAACGGTTGACATAAATCAGCCCCAACTCTCCACACATCAAGAAACGGTTGACATAGATCAGCCCCAACTCTCCACACATTAAGAAACGGTTGACATAAATCAGCCGCAAGTCTCCACACATTAAGAAACGGTTGACATAAATCAGCCCCAACTCTCCACACATTAAGGAACGGTTGACATAAATCAGCTCCAACTCTCCACACATTAAGAAACGATTGACATAAATCAGCTCCAACTCTCCACACATCAAGAAACGGTTGACATAAATCAGCCCCAACTCTCCACACATTAAGAAACGGTTGACATAACATAAATCAGCCCCAACTCTCCACACATTAAGAAACGGTTGACATAAATCAGCCCCAAGTCTCCACACATTAAGAAACGGTTGACATAAATCAGCTCCAACTCTCCACACATTAAGAAACGGTTGACATAAATCAGCTCCAACTCTCCACACATCAAGAAACGGTTGACATAAATCAGCTCCAACTCTCCACACATTAAGAAACGGTTGACATAAATCAGCTCCAACTCTCCACACATCAAGAAACGGTTGACATAAATCAGCCCCAACTCTCCACACATTAAGAAACGGTTGACATAACATAAATCAGCCCCAACTCTCCACACATCAAGAAACGGTTGACGTAAATCAGCCCCAACTCTCCACACATTAAGAAACGGTTGACATAACATAAATCAGCTCCAACTCTCCACACATTAAGAAACGGTTGACATAAATCAGCTCCAACTCTCCACACATCAAGAAACGGTTGACATAAATCAGCCCCAACTCTCCACACATTAAGAAACGGTTGACATAAATCAGCTCCAACTCTCCACACATTAAGAAACGGTTGACATAACATAAATCAGCCTCAACTCTCCACACATTAAGAAACGGTTGACATAACATAAATCAGCCCCAACTCTCCACACATTAAGAAACGGTTGACATAAATCAGCCCCAAGTCTCCACACATTAAGAAACGGTTGACATAAATCAGCTCCAACTCTCCACACATTAAGAAACGGTTGACATAAATCAGCCCCAACTCTCCACACATTAAGAAACGGTTGACATAAATCAGCCCCAACTCTCCACACATTAAGAAACGGTTGACATTACATAAATCAGCCCGAGCTCTCCACACAATAAGAAACGGTTGACATAACATAAATCAGCCCGAGCTCTCCACACAATATAACATGATATTTAACATTACTTCTTCACCTCCTCTTGTACTTGTTCGGGTGCAAAGAGACCTAAACGTTATCGTTCTCTGACCATAAACACTTGATTATGTTAGAGACTGTCAATGTTATCCCATGGTCTCAATCTTCACCAACACTTGATTATGTTAGAGACTGTCTATGTTATCCCATGGTCTCAATCTTCACCAACACTTGATTTTGTTAGAGAATGTCTGTTATCTCTCCATCTTATTTTCACTTACACTTGAGTATGTTAGAGAATGTCTCTGTTATCTCTCCATCTTATTTTCACTTACACTTGACTATGTTAAAGAATGTCTCTGTTGTCTCTCCCTCTTATTTTCACTTACACTTGATTATGTTAGAGAACGTCTCTGTTATCCCTGGGTCCTAATCTTCCCCGAACCTTCACTATGCAAAAGAATGTCTCAGTTATCTCTGCATCTTGTTTTCATTAACACGTGATTATGTTAGAGAACGTCTCTGTTATCCCGTGGTCCTAATCTTTACCAACACTTGATTATGTTAGAGAATGTCTCAGTTATCTCTCTATCTTTTTTCACCAACACTTGATTAAGTTCGATAATGCCCCTGTTATCACACCCTTCTTATTCTTCATCAACACTTGATTATGTTAGAGAACGTCTCTGTTATCCTTTGGTCTTAATCTTCATCAACACTTGATTGTGTTATAGTATGTCTGTGTTATCTAAAGGTAAGGGCAAAGAAAAAAGCAGTGATTTATATAAAATTTATGTAAAAGAAATATTCGGCACAGAAAAAAAATAGGGGATTACAAACAATCACTGCTTTTTTCTTTGTACACAGAAAAAGATACCAATACTTAGAGAAAGAAAAGGAAAACAAATAACTAACACCACTATTCACCATGCAGTATATATGATATTAGTGCAGGAAAAAATTGCATAAAGTGTGCTAATACTTCGATCCCTTGCGTATCACAAGGAAGTAAAAATTCCTGCATGAAGTGATAATAACATATTTTTCGCTACGTACAGAGAATGTCCTGCGATGTCATACTATACAAAGCATAGGCCGAGAGATGATTGCCGAGACAGGTGAAGAATAAGATGGAGAGATAACGGAAACACACACACACACATATATATATATATATATATATATATATATATATATATATATATATATATATATATATATATATATATATATATATATATATATATATCAGATATGAGTATATTTAGGTGTAAACACTCACATGAACAAACGCACATATATATGCATACAACAACACAAACACACACACACACACGAGATTAAAAGAGATTGAACATGCCTTTTAGTTAAAATGTCCAGGAACAACATTAACAGAATTTGTCGACTGGATGAAGAAGCAACAGCACTACTGTCATCGCCAGGCACCCACTAACAGACACTCCAAGCCAGCATAACAATTTCATACAAGACACAATAACCCCCCCACCAGTGTCAGACATGGTCACTCAGAAAAACAACAACTTGACATGGAAATCAGTAACAATGGAAATGATTTGATTGGAACCATTCCGTTTTTCCAGACGATAATGTTATATTGCGCTATGAGGAGGCATGAGACTCACATCCTATGGCGATGGCGAGTGTGACTAGCAAGACCCGCCCGTGTCAAGGAAAGTCTTCCACAATGATAACATGGGATTTCAGGACCATTGTTGTCAACATTTGTGTTTAATCCGTTTCTTTTTAGATGCTCTGCTCTCATCCTTTCTGCAATCTATTCTTCCTTCAGTCTCATTTCCTTCCTGATATGCCCTTTCCATACAACACGGTCCATGGCATTTTGTTACCATAAGTCCACCTCAGTAGCTGTATCATTCATGTCCCGCTTGCACACATCTTTATACCATAGTAGAGGTCGGCCTCGACATCGTCTTCATGCCTTTAATTCACCATAGAGGATGTCCTTAGGGACTGCCATCCTCCATTCTCCAGGTGTGACCAAACCACCTAAGCCTTCGTAGACTGAGCAAGGAAAAGGCTGTTGTGAAGTTCCTCCTCTCCATAGCTTAAAGCCTGGGCAGTATTGTAGAGACCATATGTTGCCCATGGATAATGATCCCTCACTCGACCTGCCTTGTTTACTCCAAAGGAAAGGTAAAACCAGTACGTTTGCAAAAAAGGTAGGCTGCAGAAGCTGCAGGATCAGAAGAGCAGTGCTCTATCTGTCCGCCAGTCAGAGCTTCCTCCTAGACCAGCTGCTAGCCAAGGCGAAGGGTCTCAAAGTTTTCAGATTGGATTTCCTCTTCCTAGGATAAGGCTAGTATCCTTCCCAATGCGCTCTTCCGCCAGAAGCCGTTGGCACAACATGGGATGTTGGGTTAGTATACGCCGCCCAACATTCGGCGTAACAGAAGACAGGTGTTACCGGCTACTGTTATAAGGTAGCTCAGTCATATCTGACCAAGACCTGATAATGGAAATGAGATGTACGAGAAATGCTGCAGGGGTGATGATCAAACATGAAAAAATATGGATTGAAGAAAATCAAGTCGGCTCACTACCACTACTAA